AGGATTCAAGGCAAAGAATTTTGTCACCTGCAGTAACCAATTATATTTGTTATCAGCACCATCACTGATCAAACGGAGTTGTTGTAATAATAGTCCAATAAATGAAGGAGGAAAAAAAGGCAAAGTTAACGTTAATTACGCACTATTTTCATCTTCTGGTTGAAAGTAGTTTCTGGTACCTCATTAAACATGACCGGAAAACGCGTGCGATGGCGGAGAAAATGGCCCCAAAAGACCAGGAAAATAGGTTTTCAGCCAATATCTCCTAAAATATGGCAGTTAGAGATTTTTGGTTCAGATAAAAATTGAACATTAGTTAATTTTCTACAAAAATGGTCCTCATCATTTTTCTCGAAAATTTGCCCGGTTTCGAAAAAAACGGCACGAAGCGCACCTCGAATAATGAGCTTCTGTTGTATGCCGGGAAAGCACAGTCCGTGTATTTACACATTCGTAGAAGAATTCTGCTGCTATCATACCTGCGTGGCCGCATGGTTTGTAGCAGACAACCCGAGCGCCACGTAGAGCACACACACGGCGAACGACGGAGGAAGGAAAGTAATAAATTATAGCGTGTACTTTAGATATACTGGTTTTTTCCCGGGATATCAAAGGTATGACTTATATATATCGATGAAAAGGTGGGAATTCCCCCGTTACACTAGTTTAGGTGTTAAAATGTTAGAAATAAAGAGCACGGAGAAAAAAACACCGAAAAAAAGTGCGTTTTTTCCTTGACCCCGCTTTTTCTAATTTTATTGAAAAATGGACGAATTCATCTAAAAAAGTAATTGCACAATCGAAAAGTAGACCTTCTTAGCTTTCGAATGATGTATCATAGAAACCAATCGGATCATGTATAAATTTGATGATTGTTCACAAAATTTCCCCGCGCTCCAAAAACAGCAAAAAATTGGGATTCACTAAACAAAGATTAAATGAAAATTGAAAGAATTTAAGGTATACAAATTCCAGGAATGACAAAGGACCTCATGAGGACCCATAATCAAGAAAATTTTGAGTAAATTAGTGCAATACAAAAAAAAATAAGAACAAATTCCTGGCGAGGACAAAATTGACCGGGAGCAGAAAGTTTGACCCATGTTCCGATATGGTCAAAAGAGTCAAGAGTGACTCAATTCATAGGGTATGATAGCAGCAGAATTCCTCTTCCACATGAACTTCGAATCATGATAAAATATGCATTTTAACAAAGTTATTGAATAATTTGTCCCCCTGCCGATGTGTAAATACATGGACTGTGCTCTCCGGCATTCAACAGAAGCTCATTATTCGAGGTGCGCTTCGTGCCGTTTTTCTCGAAACCGGGCAAATTTTCGAGAAAGATGATAAGGATCATTTTTGTAGTAAATTAACTGAACTTCAGTTTTTATCCGAACCGAAAATCTCTAACTGCCAAATTTTAGGAGATATTGGCTGAAAACCTATTTTTCTGGTCTTTTGGGGCCATTTTCTCCGCCATCGCACGCGTTTTTCAGTCAAACTTTGTCTCATGTTTAATGAGGTACCAAAAGCCTCTTCCAACCGAAAGATGAAAATAGTGCGTAATTATTGTTAACTTTTTCCCTTTATTTATTGGACTATAGGAAAAGTTTGGGGCAGGGGTCACAAAATGGCGGACCGCGGTCTGGATCCGGACTGCCGACCTATTTTGTGCGGACCCGAATACGATGCAAGAAGTGATCAAAATTGTAAATTTCCTGCGTGCCAAATCATCACTGAAACATCGTCAATCTTTTCTGGACGAAGTTAATGCACAATATGCCGATTTACTGCTGCACAACAATGTAAGGTGGTTAAGCAAAGGCTGCGTCTTACAAAGATTCTTCGCCATTTTATAGAATATTTGAAAACATTTTTTCCAAAATGATCAGGCTTCAACAAACGCCTATTTAAGATTTCTTAGCGATGAAGAAATTGTAGCTACCATTGCTTTCTTATCGGACATTTTTAAAAATATCAATGACCTGAACCTTGAACTTCAAGGGAAAAGAAAGCTCGTATGTGAACTTTTGTCACAAGTGAAAAGTTTTTCTCGAAAACTTGATCTTCAGAAAAACGATCTCGATAATGAATTCTTGCATTTTCCTAATAGGCCAGTCATTGGGGATTTTTACCTGGAAAAAAGTCCGGAAGTTTTGAAACTTTGTAGGATTATAGTTTTGGGTGTCCAGAACTAAAATTCACAAAATGCACATTCCGGGACTTGCCAAGATGGCGCTCAAAAACGGTTTTTTGAAAATATCTCCAAAACGGTGTGTTTTTAGAAAAAATATGAGGACATAAAAATTTAAGATGAAGAAATTTTCTACAAGAAATGTTCTCAGTATATTTTTGCTGAAGTGAGCCGTTTAGGCCCAAGAGCTGATTGAATGACATCATATTCTGTTAATTTCAATAAACTGCCCCTAACTATCTCCAAATATGCGTATAAATTCATCTTTTATAATGAAACGGGCTGTCTAATTGGTTTCTCGTTATATTTATAGCTTGCTGACAGAGGATATTTCCTATAAAATATGTTCCTAGAATATTCTCGCTAAAGTACCCTCGTTAAGGCACAGGTGCCCTTACCAAATTACAAATGTTGCGTAAGTTTTCTGTAGTGGCGAGTTTCGGAAATAATATGTGTATTAGGGGTCCCCAAATCTGATATTTAACGACTTTGAAAATATTTATCACGAAACGGTGGATATCCATTATTCAATTAATCGATGAATTCATCAATTAAATCCATGTTAATAATTTATGATCAATCAATTTCGATTTTAAATGCTGTATTTGTTTCCACACCACCCAAGAGGCTAAGTACACGGCGCGTTTTTTTTAACGTGGTTTCCTCTGTAGTCCTAATCCACTCAGGTACTGAAATTATTTTTGGCAAAGGCCAGACGGACTTGGCTCGTTGATTTCGATATATTCAACGGGGAAACTGGTTACCTCAGTCTTCTTCTGCAGTCGATAAAGAATCATCATGCAGCGAATGGAGGTCTTCTTCATCGGATTCGTCCAGTGTCACATGGCTGATATTTTCACAAGTTTTCCCGTTGCAGACACCGCAAATCATCGAACATCGCAATCCTGCTTTCCTGCATCCGCAGGCTCTACCACAAGCCGCCTTGCACTTACATGATAAAAAAGCAAGTAGTGCTTTGGAAGCAGGATCTTTCAAAGTAGTTATTGGAGTGGGGCCAGTTTGTGTTTTCTTCCAACCCCATTATTCAACTACTTTCGGACAACCACGCCATAGTTGAACCTGATAGTACGTTCTCAAAGAATGCTGTCGTGCAGCTGCGCTTGTCGGTGGTAAAGATGCCAAATTGAATTTACTTTTTGTTACCGACTTCACGAAACACTGGTATCGATATTTATCAAGATTGGTGTGATTTGTGTCTTTGAATCCATAGAGTGCAAGAAAAATTTCTCACCGGCAAAGGCAACTTGATCAGGGGTGGCATGTTCATTTTTAAAAACTTTAATATAATCTTGTAACTCTTTATGTTTTTCTAATGTTGATAGAAACTTCATTTTTCCTTGGTTAAATACGGTCTCGCAATTTTTTCATGTCCGTTTTTCTCGTAAAATTACTGATTGGCAAATTGTGTTCGTTAGGAAAGTTAATTTAGTTGATGAAAAAGTTCTTGTGTTTTTACCGTTTATAAAGATATCTCATCTGAAATATATATTTTGTGTATTTACTCATATTGGGATGGAGTGGTAGAGACAAGAAAGCAAAATTTCAAATTTCTATGAATTTATGGGCGGTTTTACAGCACGAGAAGGTACTAGGGATACACAGTATAGGTACGAAATTTACTCATAACCATCCTGCACCCACATACTTCTGGAGCAAAGTCGCCAGATTCGTCGATAATGCAATTTTTATATCGCCCAAATAATCGCAAGTCACAAATGCAAAATTTTTGTCGCATAATTGATCTGAAAATCGTCCAATATAACGAGGAAGAAATTCAATAGCCCGTTTTATTATAAAATATGAATTTATACGCATATATGGAGATAGTTAGGGGCAGTTTAAAGAAATTAACAGAATATGTTGTCATTCAATCAGCTCTTGGGCCTAAACGGCTCTCTTTAGCAAAAATATACTGAGAACATTTCTTGTAGAAAATTTTTTCATCTTAAATTTTTATATCCTTATATTTTTTCTAAAAACGCACCGTTTTGGAGATATTTTCAAAAAACCGTTTTTGAGCGCCATCTTGGCAAGATGGCGGCGCCGGCGGCATGTCCCGGACTGTGCATTTTGTGAATTTCAGTTCTGGACACCCAAAACTATAATCCTAGAAAGTTACAAAACTTCCGGACTTTTTTCCAGGTAAGCCTTATTTTGGATCCCCAATGACTGAACTATAATCTGAAAATAGTGAACAGTGGCAGAGAAGGAATTGAGGACGGCCAATACAAGACTTTCATTAATGATCTCAAATCGGAATTCGAAAACAGATTCGCAGAGTTTAAGAAAATTGAGAACGATGTGGAAATTCTCAATAACATTTACTCTCTACAGCCCGATGGTGAACGGAAGCGCTGAATGTTTTCGGAAGTAAGAAAGCAGCTCTTCAGATGGAAAATTCGGAAGTTGTTTGCGAAGAATTTTGGATAAAATTTGTGTGTGGTAATTAATAACCAGAACTGAAATTGCCTTTGAAACTTTACAATGTTTGGATCAACATATATTTGTGAAGCAGCGTTTTCCAAGATGAACTTCATTAAAAATAAATTTCGCTCTCGTCTTACCGATGATCATCTCCAGGGTCTAATGGCAATAGCTTGCAGCAACTCAACACCAGACTTCAGACCGAGCTTCAGACACATTGTTCAGAGTAAAACTCGGAGTAAAAAATGTAATTTCTCGCAATAATATTATGTACCTTGTACGTTTTCTCAATTAGATATTTTCTCAATGATCAAATGTTCTGATCTCTTTTGGTTTTATTCATTCATTGATATTTCAGATCTTGGTTGTTCTTCATCATCTACCAAACGGACCGCGACAAATTTATATTTGTTACATACGAACCCGCAGTGTAACTAATTGGTGATCCCTGGTTTGGGGTATCGTTTATTTTCCATTGAATACATTTTTTAATCACTAACTGCTTCTGCGGCCAGAAATGGGAAGGAAAGTTTTAATGATCATGAGTCGAGAAACGCTCCTAAGTGAACTAAGGGCACCTGTAAGAGGGCTCCTGAAGATGATATTTCTTGAATATTTTCGAAACGTCATGTGATGAAATGCTGCAATTTGGTTCGAAAAAAAAACTTCGCATTCCTAATGCATTATGAATAAAATCGTTCCAAAATTTCATTCAGGAATGGACAACACAGGGCAGGACTACATTAAATATTGCTTAAACTTTATTGTACCCATATTTTTTGACAATTTGATCACAATTTTGAGAATCCACATCTCTCAGTGAAAAGAATGTGCTTCTGTTCCTTATTGATGAGATGTAGCATTTTTGAGTGAAATCCGAGGTGAAATCGATCTTGAAATGTTGTTTCATCTCACATTTTATGTATAATGTTGACGAATATCAAATCATAGTGGCTATTAAAAAATCAACTACTTTCTTTTCACGAAACAATTTCAAAATAGGAAAATGATGATGAGAACTACTTTGTCCATTTTCCACCAATACGCTTTATTGCAATGTTATGCAGAATAAGTGGCGGGATAAGTGAGATGTAATAGTTATTTATACACCAAGGTAGAAAGGAATATCATTATACCCAGGGCCAAGATTATATCCCGAGGTAATAATATTATTCACTACCAAGGTGTGTATTAAGTTTTTTTCACCATTTCAGCAATATACAATTATTTCAGCTCTGAGAAACCGAAATATGGACCTATTATCACTATAAAAGCACTATTTCAATAATTAGCCATGACCATGACAGCATATATGACAAGTCTATAAACAAACTAAACTGCTCCACATTTGAAGTGAGACAAGCGAACATTTTGTTTGTTTTCGAACCGTGATAACTTTGGATGAGATCAACCGATCTTTGATTAGTTTTGAGATTGTGATTGCCCAGTTGATTGGCTATAACATATTTTTTTTACGTTTCTCCACCATTTCGGAATTATGACCTACAGGATGATATCTGAAAGTGTGATACTTTCCGAAAAGTTTGAGGTCGCCCCGTTAGCAGGATAATTTTTTTTTTAATTTTTCTGACGGCGAAAACATGAAGCCTAATGTGTTTCCTCGAAATGGTTTCGGATTCATCAAGATCCATACAGGATGTTTTGAGATATGCAATTTTGAACAACATAATGGCTATTCGAATTTTTTGAATACCTTAAATTCATTGGTTAACCCCTCGGTATAATATGTTGTCTGGGAAATAATCAAAAATTGTCAAACATTTGATTATTGTAATAAAATATGCCACGACTAACTAATGAACAATTACAAATGGTTCTCAGAATGAGAGATGGTGGTTTGAATGTTGAAGACATTGGACAGTATTTCGATACATCAAGAGCTTCAATATACAGGGCAATCCGTCGTCACGATCGAACAGGAGATCCTAATTATCGTCACGGAGGTGGACGACAACGGAAGACTTCAGATAGAAATGATAATTTCTTAGTTACTTCGGTACGTCGTCTTCGATCACAGACTGCTGGACAACTGAACTGTGCACTAAGAAATGCAACAGGAGTTGTTGTCTCAGATGAGACAATCAGAAGAAGGCTTCATGAGCGCAATCTGAGAGCGAGAAGGAGGGCATCTTGTACTTTAATAAAGCTGAACCACAGGATAGCTCGAAGACTTTGGGCTCAGAACCATTTGAACTGGGGAATAGCTGATTGGAGGAGATGTTTATTCGTTGATGAGAGTAGGTGTAATATGTTCAGATCAGAAGGAAGGATTTTAGTATGGCGAGAACGGGGTGAGAGGTTTCTGGAGGAAAACATGGAGGCGCGGGTGGCATTTGGGGGTGGGGGTGTTACGATATGGGGCGGTATCATGATGAATCATCGCACCACGTTGGTTATTTTGAGGAAAAGTATGAATGCTGTTCGATATCGTGACATGTGTATAAGAGATGTTGTTATACCAGTTGCTCAAAACTTTGGAGACAATTTCGTACTGGTCGATGATAATGCACGACCACATCGTGCGAGAATTGTAACCGAAGTTCTGAGACAACATAATATTGAAAGAATGGAATGGCCACCCGTATCTCCAGACATGAACCCAATAGAACATGTATGGGCTAAGTTAAAATTATGTTTGAAGAAAGGAGAAGGTGAAATGATGAATATTCAACTGGAAGATGCGATAGTGGAAGAATGGACAGCTATTTCCCAAGATTTCATTGATGGCTTGATAACAAGTATGCCGAGAAGAGTTAGGGCTCTCGCAGCGGCCAGGGGTGGTGTAACATGATATTGATAATCGACCACATCTGCCGTTGTTAATTTTTCTTTATTAAAAAAATATTGTGTTACGTATTATCTGTATTCTCTTCGTGGTATATATGTTCATCAATTCTCATTCTCTATATCCACTGAAAACAAACATCCTAGCTTCGACAATTTTATTCATAAAATAACCACACTCCACATTCACTTTATTCCTCCCTGCGAACTAACCCTGAAGGTTTTTCGTTCAATCACGAAATCACTTTTGCCTCGACTTTTGCTAATCCATGATATTGCATATCTCAAAACATCCTGTATGGATCTTGATGAATCCGAAACCATTTCGAGGAAACACATTAGGGTTCATGTTTTTGCCGTCAGAAAAATTTAAAGAAAAATATCCTGCTAACGGGGCGACCTCAAACTTTTCGGAAATTATCACACTTTCAGATATCATCCTGTTGGTCATAATTCTGAAATGGTGAAGAAACGTAAAAAAAATATGTTATAGCCAATCAACTGGGCAATCACAATCTCAAAACTAATCAAAGATCGGTTGATCTCATCCAAAGTTATCACGGTTCGAAAACAAACAAAATGTTCGCTTGTCTCACTTCAAATGTGGAGCAGTTTATATATTAATGCAAGCAAAACACAATTTTTAATCTTCCATACCAGACAAAGAAGAGTTGAAAACATGGACATATACCTTGGGCAAAATAAAATCAACAACACTAACATTGTAAAATTTCTAGGCATCACAATGAATGACACACTTGACTGGGAACCACACATAAGGGAAGTTATCAAAAAATTGAACAGTGAAATATATCAACTCAGATGCCTTCACAAAAAATTGAATCTCAATGTTCTGAAGAACTATTATTTTGCTGAAATACAAAGCAGGTTGACATATGGGATAATGCTATGGGGAATGTCTCCTGTATCACTAAAGTTATTCATTATTCAGAAGAAATGCCTTAGAACACTTTTGAACAAGAGACGCAGAGATTCATGCAAACAGTTGTTCAAACAATTCAATATACTTCCTCTCTGTTGCCCGCTGTTGCATATTTTGGAAATATCCTGTTACATTCATAAAAATAAACACTGTATTCCTCGAAATGACAGTATTCACAATTATTCAACTAGACATAGTCACCACTTATGTACACCTCAAAACTATTTGAATATAGCACTAATGGTCCAATATCTAGTGGTATCAGAATTTATAATAAGCTTCCGCATATCATCAAAGAACAAGGGACATACTTTAAGTTCAGGAAATCTCTTAGACAATACCTGCTCAAAAAGTGTTACTACACAGTAGACGAGTTTCTGGATATCTAGTACTGGCTCTACTTTTTATTTTATTTTTCATCAATTTCCTCTATTTATCAAAAGTTTTACTCATGAAATTGTATGTTTAGTGTTTACTCTTATATGTGTACCTATATATATACAAAATGTAAATGTAACTTGTGACTTGTTTAATACCTTGTATGGTCTACAAAATGAATGAAGTTGAGTTGAGTTGAGTTGAGTTGAAGTCGTTATATTGAAAAATACCTACTAGATTCGAGTGCTATTAGTACGAATCTTGCATCAGAACAGTGAATTCGGGTTGATTATAACAGAGGTGGCTATGCCTCTATTGACAAGTGGTTAATAAAATTACGAAAACTACCTTGGTAGTGAAAACACACTTTATGCCTCGAAAAGGAGCAAGTTATGGTAGGTTTTAGAGCTAGTGGTGGAAAAAAATATTTTCGAATCGATTTGACACGAAAATGATACGTCTGATCGATACGGAACAAGAGTATCTTCTTTTTGTAATGAAGTGTGGATTTTCATTTGATGTATTCCTACCCTGTATTATACAGTGTGTCCCACTTACCATGCTCACCATGAGTATCTTTTTAACGGTGAGAGATACGAGGTCGGTTAAATGACACCAAATGTGGAGTTTGTCAAGGCCAACTATAATGTGAAAAAATATTTTGATAAAATCTATTCGTTTTTGTTTTATACGCAAAAAACAGATTTTGTTCATTTTCATGTCTCTTCCGTAACTTCTTTATTTATGAAAATATTCAAATAGGAATTTCACATTCTCATGGCAGTTTTTCAAAGTGATTTCGAAAAAAATATGAAATTTATACCAATTCTTCTAGAATTTGAGATTTCAGCACCAACTTTAGTTTTTCAAATGTAGGTCATAGCTCACTATGACTTAGTTACGAATAACTTTTTTTTCTCTCACAGATGATATGTCGCAGTAATAGTTTTGTGTTGATAACAATGAAGTTATCGTCATTTATACAAAAACAAAAAATTATTTGGAAGCCGCCATCTTGAATTTATAAATTTTACCAAAAAAACATGATCTCCGACCTCAAAAACCCCCACTTACCAATTTTGAATGGAATCGGACCAAATCTTGTCCGCCATGAATTAGAAAAAATGGCTGCTCTTTTCTTCACTCGAAACTCAATGAGATAATAACAAACTTTCCCGATCTAACAACCATCAAGACCTTATTTTTCGCTCCTCGTTAATTTGATTGCTAAATACCGAAAGATTGGTTTTTACAACTGAAAGTTATGGAGGAGTCGTCTATTTTCCGGTTACCAAAGTTGAATGATATAAAA